ACAAAGTCATGGAGGAGTTGGGTGGGAACTGAACTGTGTGCCTGTGAATCATAGCCTTTATAGGACATCATCTTCAGAACCATTTTATCGTCTAAGACAGATCCCCTTCTGGAGTAGTCCTTAGTCTGGTTTTGCATGATTGTGTGAGGAAGGAGTAGAAGAAAAGAGATTAAGAAAAAAAACCGCACAAATGGCCATACTCACTGCCCACATACATTTGTGACTCTGTTTAAGTAAGAAAATGTGGCACACCTCCTTCCTGAGGTTGGCCATGCGCTGTCTGCTGTCCTCTGCAGCTGTGTTTGTCACCGACCAAACCATAGTCTTCACTCCTGGAGTTATATAATGTAGTGTGTTCACACCACCATTCCTTCTCACTTTTTTACATTTATTTATTTGTGTGTGTGTGTGTCTGTCTGTCAAGGTGTACATATGGAGGGCAAAGGACGACTTGGAGGAATCAGTTCTCTCCATCTACCATGCAGATTATGAGGACTGAACTCGGGTCATCAGGCTTAGTGGCAAGTGTCTTTACCTGCCGGGCCATCTTGCTGACCCTGCAACATTTCTGTTAAGAAGGCTTTGTATAAATGAAATGAGCCAGGAGTGATGATGCACACCTTGTGATCCTAGCACAAGAAAAGAGGATTGGGAGTTTGAGGCCAGCCGGGACTGCATGAGACCCAGTCTCAAAAATAAAAAATTAAACTAAACACAAAGTAAGTATGTCTGTGAACAGGAGGACAGACTAGGACAGCAACACCATCCTGTGCTTCATCTGATCTCCACTTGCCTGCAAAAGCTACTCTTGTCCTCAGTAGTGCTAGCGAGACAACCTTTCTGGTTTGATGGAAGAAGCTCCTGCCACTTCCCTAGCCTAAGAATTCCCATACACCCCCGGCCTCCCTCTTCCCCATGGCTTTGCTTCCCTTTGGGTCTACCCTGCAGCCATTCATTTGAAGCTTTTCTCGGATGTCCTCAGGGCACCTCTTGGCACCCAGGACCTGACTTTTTGCCCCTTTTGAGGCCTCTCAAGCAGTAGGCAATTTTGTATAGACTTTCTTTCTGCTCTGGAACAGTGGTGGTTTTTATCTACAAGACTGTTCTTCCACTCCAGGGAGTCTGCCCCGCAGCAAACAGATGTTTGTGTGGAGATCTCCCCTCTAGATGAATAGAATCCTCCCAGAGGCTAATGCTCTCTGGGAAAGTTCTTTTGTGCATGTACGAAGCATAAGCCCTGAGCAACTACCTTTGATGTATATTTTGTGGTTGGGAAAGAAAAGAAAAATCAAATAGCATTTCTTTCAGCCAAACTGTTTCTTGTAGATGAGAATTTTTGTTGACCAAAGGCTTTCTCCAGTATGAGCTTTGCCCTCTCCTATTAAACAAAGAGTTACAGTGAGATTGCTTTTTCTTCTGTTACTCCTGAATTTTATTCTCTGTGATATGTTTGGACATAATACTTCATCGACAAACTGAATCGGATAACTGTCTTCCAAATCTCTATTTTGTTTGGTTTGCTTAGAAACAACTTTCATCCAAGCCTAAAGTACTTAGTTCAGAGTCAGCCTTCAAAAGGTGTTAAGTCTACAGGCCTGTGGGAAACAAAATGCGTAAACTTGTTTTGGAGGACATTAGTTTTGCTTTGGTCCTTTGGATCCCTATTTTTCATAAAACCCTAAAATTGATGTGCCCTAACTTAGCACATTTTTCAACAATTTTTTAAGATTGGGTAACACATTAGTGCCTTTCATTATCAAAAATTACCTTGGTATATGAGGTCAGTAAACCATGCAATGAATTTGAATGAGGAATAACTTTCTTCTGGAGAACAGGTGAGGCTAGTCCCAAACTTTAGAGACAACGACACACCCTTTGACAAATACAGTACCTTGGAATCTAACAACCTCCAATTTCCCATTTTTACTTTGTTTTGATTGAGACAGGGTATTTTAAAGTAACCCAGGCTGGCCTTGAACTTGTGATCTTTCTGCCTAAACTTCCCGAGTGCTGGGATTACAGCCATGTACCACCATGTTCTAATAAATCAAATGTTCCTTGAGCCACATGTATTGAATCATAATATCTTGATTTCTGTACTCAATCATGAATAATAACTTAGGCATAAGAAAATACACTATAAGACACAATGAGCAGACCAGTCACCTTATTTTAGCCAGTCACCTTTGCCCAGTATGTCAGAGTTCCTTAGAGGCACTGCCCTTGGTAATAGGAGAATGCAGATTCATCACTAGAGGCAAGCTCTGTCTCAAAGCTACAGAGAAGAATGAGGTACAGAAAAAGGAAGACACCTCTCTGTTTCTGTCTCTAGCTCTATCATCTATCTATCTATCTATCTATCTATCCACCTATCATCTATCTATCTCCATCTATCTATCATCTATCTATCTGTCTGTCTAATATCTATCTATCTATCTATCTATCTATCTATCTATCATCTATCATCATCTACCTATCTATCAATCATCTATCTATCTACCTACCTATGTCTCCCCCTACCCCCTCTTTGTATATCTACACTATATTATTGATTACTGACTGTTCATTGCAGAAGGTACTACTCTGTGTTAAACAAATTAAGCTTTAATTCCTGAGTCTAACAAAATAACTGACCTCAAAAGAAGATAAATGAATAGGCTGTTCAGAACTCATGATTAGAATGCACTTTCCAGTCTCATTATATTAGTATTTTTCAATTCAGTGATTTTTCCATTCTTCTCTGCCTTCTTTCACAATCTGTAACACCTTTCGCCCTCCTCTTGGGTCAGCAAACCCAAGCTGTCTTCATTCTTTGTTTCAAGATTAAAAGGCTTTACTAAGGATATTTTTATATTTTTATACTGCATATTAATAATTTAACATACTTTCCATTTTAGAACAATCTAGATAGCTAGTATTTATTAAAAGATTTTTATTATGCCCTTTATTTCATAAAGTCATAAATAGCATTGACATATAGTACACTTAATTATTTGCTTTAACACACATGGTCTTTACTGTGTCCTTGAAGGTTAGAGAGTTTGTAGTTTTCCTTTTGTGCTTTCTTAGTTAAGATTTTAATTGTTCAGTTTTATGGGATATTGTGATACAAGTATATAGTGTATAGTGATTAAATCACGGTAGTTATCATTACCTTATCCTTAACATTTAAAAAAAATTTGCTTGGCACACAATTCTTTACATTTATAAGGTTCCTTGTTATATTTGAGTATACATATGCAATATGTACTGATAAAATCAGGAATATTAACACTTCCATCACAGTTAAAGGGGTTTAATAATATGCAGATTGATTTTAAATTTGAGAAAAATTAGAAATA